GTGGCCTACATCCTAGAAGCCTTCATTTCACAAATCAAAATGGTAAGTTATACTGACATTGCCTCAGTGGAGGTAGATTTAATGAGCTCTGTAATTCTTCCATTCCATATGCCCAAGGTGTTCTATTATTTTCAAGTAATTTCCACATAAAACAGTTTATGTGAGTTTCTCAATAATGTAATCAGTGAGGTATTTAGATAGGAGAAGTAAATATTTTCCTCTCAAGCAAGGACACTGAGATTCAGACAAGAGGGAGAAAGTTGCTCAAGGTTTCATAGCTCATAAGTGACAGTGTTGAGCTGGAATTCTGAGGTCCTGACTCCTGGATCAGACTTTTTTCCCCATCCATTGCTCAAGGAAGGAGAATGAGGCTATTACCCTACTGACTGTGTAGGACTTGGCCCATCCTGTCATTTAAACAGCCCCACACATCCACCAAACATTCAAAAACTGAATGTTGAAATTCTAGGAAATTGAGCCAGTGAAAAAATCTTTTACTGATGTGGGAGAGGAAGGATGGTAGCAGAGAGGGAAGCTTTTTATACTCAGTAATCTTTGGTTTTGAATGATATTGCAGGTGTTTTAAAACTTTATGTTTTACCTTAAAGTTTTACCAGTGAAAACCAATGGTTTACCTAATTATAACCTGCTAGTGAAAGCAAGATTGGTTAAAATCCACAAGTCAAATAATTCACTTGTGAGTGCCTGCACAGCCCCCTTTGCAAACATCTTCCTTTTGGAGTCTCAGCAGATAGTATCACCTTGTAACCAAATGCTGCATCCAGTAATTTGGAGTAATTCTTCAGCTATAGCCTCCCCCAGTCCCCACATCCTCTTGGTGATTCTCTTTTCTTTATTTAACAGAAACTCATCTACTTTTCTCTTATCTCCAATGCCACCGTATAAATCTTAATCACTGTCACTTGCCAGACTCCCTCATCTCCAACAACGAACTCTGATCTGAATTTACACAGGCATAAAGTAATTCTAAGATGACATCCCCACCCCCACCCTCCAAAAAAGAAGAGAGGGGTTAGCAATATTATCCCATGGCAATTTATTCTCTAGAATATACACAAGTAGATGATGTGGCTCCTCTTCCTTAATCATTTAGCAACTTCCGAATGCCCAAGACAACACTGGATATCATAGTGCCCTGGGCATGGCCCCGCATGAATTGGTTCTGACTTTGTCACATACACATACTCCAGTCACTTCCCCCCTTTTTCTCCCTCCTACCACTCCAACTAGCCTTTGACTGGTTGTTTAAATGTGCCAAGCTCATTCCAACTCAGGGCACCAACACGTGTTATTTTCATCAACTATTGATATGCCCACTTCCCACCCACTCGTCTTGCAGGTCTCAGTTTAAATAGTTTGTGTTACCAGAACCAGCAGTTAGCGTAATGGCTATGTCACTGAACTCCCATGTAGCCAACCGCAGTTCAAGTCCCGGACCCAGTGGCTTAAACTGACGCTGGTCGTGTGTGCATGCGTGCCCAAGATCCTGAGAGGAGAATGGAGAAGGGATTGCGGCGTGGCCATCTCCTCTGGGGGATGATTTCTCGCTTTCTGTCACCCTCTGTCTGTCTTTCGGCGAGCACACGCACCTACAGCAAAAATCTCTCCAAAAAAAAGAAAGAGAAGGAAGGAAGGAAAGAAAGAAAGAAAGAAAGAAAGAAAGAAAGAAAGAAAGAAAGAAAGAAAGAAAGAAAGAAAAAAAAATAGTTTATGTGACCTCAGCTGCCTCCCAGGACCACCTGGCCCCACATTAGGTTAGGTTTCTGTGTTTTCTGTTTTGTTTAGCATCCTCAACTTCTCATAATACTTGTTTAAACTGTAATTAGTCACTGGGGTATTAGCTTAAAGTGTATATCCTGTTTGTTCTTTTCAAATCATTATCCACAATAATAAGTAAATCTTACAACTAGTACAGAAGTACATATAATTAGAAAAAAAAAGTTTCATGAGCAATGCTTACCCCTTTTAGGCATGATTTACTTGTTTTTTTTTTTCTTTTAATATGTTGAGTATAAGCATTTTATTGATTTTACAGTCCACTAATAGACTCAGCTCTAGTTTACAGCAATCACCCATCTAACTAGTGCATAGCTGAAGGTAGGTCCTCAGTAACTGTAAAAACAAACTAATGGAAAATTATTGCTAATATTTACCAGCCACTGTCTAAACCGTGTTTATTTTTACAAAGTGAAAGCAAACCTTGCCATCCTGGGTACAGTTAGCTTTCTCATTTAGAGTGATGAAAGCAAGATCATAAATGTGATCTCATTCCAATCAGTTGGTTCCTGCTCCAGGGCCACAGACCCTTAAGTAGCCTTCAGGAAACAACAGGTTGATTCATGATTCCACCTTTTACCTGATCAGCATATCCCTATCATTGCAACCAAATGGTTTAGAAAATAAGAAGGAACAACCTAGCAATGCCACCAAATTCATTACTCACAAGGAGTATAGGAATTTTGCTACCTGAATTGTCAGATTTTGACTTAAGGTAATAGTGTTATTGACTTGCCAGGATCCATTGACTAAGAAATTAATATCTATTTTTTTGAGACGTTTTTGCTACAGGGTGAGAGACAGAGAGATAGAAAGTGAGAACTCACCCCTCAGGGGGCGTGGCCATGCTGCAATCCCTTCTCCTCCATTCTCCTCTTGGGATTTTGGGCACACAGGTCTGGAGTGAGTTTAAGCCATGGGGTCCAGGACTTAAACTGTGGTCAACTACATGGGAGTCCAGCGACATAGTCATTATGCCAACTGCTGGTCTCCCCAGTACCTATTTTTATAATTAGTTGCTGTGGAACTATTTGAATGTTTGTATACCCCTTGAATTTCACAGATTGAAACTCTTACTCCTGAAGTGATGGTGTTTGTAAATGGGCCTGGTGGGAGATCATTGAAATTAAATTAGATTATAATGGTGGGGCTCTCAAAAATGGATCAATGACCTTATTTTAAAACAAAACGGAACAGAAACAGACATGAAATCTGGCTTCCTTCATGCATATACCAAGGCCCTGTGAAGACAAAACCAAAAAGGAGACCCTGCTGGCACCCCAATTTCAGACTTCCAGCTTTCAGAACTATTAATACAAGAAATAAGAGTTAGTTGCTGAAATCTCTCAGTGTGTAGTTTTCTATTACAGCAACATGGGTTAGGACACTAGTCACTTAATTTGTTGTTTGACCTATTGTATTTTGTTATTCCCACCAGATACTGAAAAGTCCTAGCACTCCTTTCTTCATCTCTCCTCTTCACTATCCATCCCCTGCTACACACAAAAATGGATCAATGAAAGTCCTTCTCAGGACTGTCAATATAATATCAACAATCTTTGTTGAACCAGGCAAACTCAAAGTAATAATTCCTCACGTTGGGGAACCATAAAGGCCCAGACTGAGCTTTTACTAGTAGAATCAGTAGGATTGCTTGGTGAGAGGGGTCACTTTCAGGTAGGAGGCAGAGGGATGTGTCCCTCACACAGGTGTCCAACTGGATGGGACACGAATATTTCCTCTAGCTCTCACTCCAGGGGCACAAATCCTGGAGGTTCTGTTAAACCTTGTCATGCATTGCTCTGGGAAAAGTTTAAGTAGGATTTTTTTCACAGCTAAAAATCAGTGACCAGAACTCACATTCCAACAATATTATCTCTTCTGTATATACTTAACTGTACTGATGTATCTTCTTTGTGTCTATGTCTTAGAAGGATTGCTTATTTGTGGTGTTCTGCAGACAAAATTGTTCTATTCATAGTGGGTTCCTAGAAAATGAGACTCCTCTTACTAGAACTGAAGCCAAGTAAGAGTATCTTCTAATTCTAGTTTCAGGAGCTGTGGTTTATAAGCACTTAAATCAAAATATACTCAAACTTAGGTGATTTGGTTCTTCTTTCTTTTCTTTGCCCTTTTTTTTTTTTTTTAAATTTGCAATAGGGCACGTGCACTCCCCAGAGAGGAACAGAGAGGGAGAGTGAGTGAGCTAGAAAACACCACATTGGGGAAATGAAAACATATAAAGACTAATAATAGTCCAACTTATACTAATATACTAATAAGTCTTTTCAACAATTTTGTAACATACTCCACAAATGACCATGCCACAATTCCCTCTCCTCCACTCTCCTGCACACATGTGGTGTGTTTGTCAGACTGCTGGGTCTGGATCACAAACAGTGCAGTTGGCCATGTGGAATTTAGCTGCCTTAACCATGTCACCTGGCTGGCTTGGTTCTTCTTTCTCTACAAGTGAGCTTTATTACCTTTAGGGATTTCTTCTCTTGTCAAAGAATTTAGAACGTAGAGTTTATATCTTTGAAAATACCATTTTTCTATCCTTTCAGGAAAAGAGTACCACTGAGATTTCAAGCAGTGGACAATAGCACTGGCTCTCCAATGCTCCTAGTGTGTAGCGGCTATTCTGCTTTCATGGTAATTGCTCCCTCTTACGATCTGAATGAGCAGCATGGATAAAAAGAAATATACTTTCTACAGCCTGATCTGGCCTAAATTCATCAACAGTACTTGGTTACATAAATGCTTTCGGTATTTTCTGTTTGTAAGTTAGTATTTATCAGCCTGCTTGACCTAAAACGCTGCACTTTACTCCATGTACCTCAGTGATATGAAAACTGTAAAACAAATATTCTCCTAAGCTACCTTAGATTTAATATCTCTTTGGCACAGCAGAAAACGAGGGAACATTAAAAAAAAAAAAAAAGTAGTTACCTAAATTACACTAAGTTCTACTTCTTAAAATACATCAATCAATAAAATAGCTTCAAAATAACATTTCCCCTAATGGTATTAAATGTAAAATTTAATTTTGTAAACAAACAACAGGGAAGTTTTATAAATTCTGTCTGACTGTAGTGACCCAATTATCTGGTCAAAGGGCTGCATGGATGCAAGAGACAGGGCGAGTTAAAGTTTAACTCTCAGGAATTGTAAACTAAACCTAAAGCCACTGAACCTTTGGAGTTTGATATGATGATTAGAGCATAACCAGAGAGACACGTTGAATTCGCCATAATCAAGGAAGCCTTTTCCAGGTGGGGAGCTCTGAAATTACTCAGGTATGGTCCATGTGTTTGGCTTTTACTATTTCAACTCTGTGAAACTGTACGTTGCGGTGTTGGTGGAAGTGCAATGAAAACAACTTTTATCCTCTTCTTCCTCTGAGTCTAATTCAAGGAATTGTCAAGTTTGTTTTTAGAACTAACGAAACAACCTAAAACCAGTAGGGTAAGCATGAATGATTGTAT